TGCATTTTCGTCGGAGCACTTAGGGCCCAATTTCCATGTACATGTTTACTAGAAAAAAAGTTTTTTTTTCTTCAGATAAGTAGATACTGTGAATCGCAAGCCTGTGTTGCAACCTGAAGCACCCTCTGGTAGACACTGTATGGTGTATCTTGCCTAAATAGTTATTAATGAAAAGCGTTCTGTGAATCTTACAGTACACCCCTACCAGCTTCCAAAATCAAAAACTAAAAGAAAAAAAAAATAAAATCATCGTCCTAAGAATAACAGTATCATAATTGATAACATTATCATTATTCTTATCAGTGTTACTTTCTAACTCCCCTTTTGCACAACAAAGTACCTAAATATAACCAGAGATAAAAGATCTTATGCCACAGAATCTTGCATTTAGCCTATTTCATTTTGCAATATATGTTTTTTTATTTTTGTACTTGTCTTCAATGACTTGTATATATATACATAAATAACCCACACATGTGTATATAAGCACATACACTGTAAAGGGTTTCTGTTTAGTGATGGTTTCACTAAATCGTGTTGATCATTATTGTATTTGTTGTGCGTATGTGTGCGCGTATACGGTGTGTGTGTGAGGTGTAAGTGTGCCTTTGGTTCGCCTCCACCGTTCGGATGACAGTTTCGAACCAACTAAAGCCTCATGTCAACCCTCGTCGGTGGTTGCCATTCTATGGTTTGCCACTCTACTCCGAGCTCCACACCTGAACACTTTGTAAGTCTTTTTCTATTTATTTTTGTATATCTTGTGTAAATATATATTTTCAACAAATGGTGAAAGGTGAGATGAACAAAAAGTGAAGTGCTGTGAAGTGATCTGAAAATTAAATGAGGAACTATTATAACGCAACCATTTATTGCAGCCTCTATAATTTGGGCCGAGCAGCCGATAGCTGCAGCCATCTCTACCAGTGGCTCCTGTACAATTCTACCTCAGGTGCATGACTGTCTTGGCTGGGATACTACTTCAACCCAACTCTTCACTAACGGATTCCTAAGATCTGCTGTATACATATCTGTGTTTTATGTACATTTGGTGTAATATATGATTATGAAAATACTGCATTGTATTTTATAAACCCGAGATGATCTATATCCCAGAGGATACCCCAAAATAAGAACCAAAGGTTTATTGCAAATAAGATCCAAGCAAAGAAACCACGGACATACACACATATCCACATACATGTATATAGATATAGATATCTATTTATCAATATAGATATACATGCAAAAAAATGTATATGTGCACACACACATACACACATATATATACATATATTTATATATACATCTAATATGTATATACAGAGAGAGAGAGAGACATAAACAGATATTTATGCGCGCGTACACACATACACACACACACACACATATATATGTATGTATGTCAGTGACGAATCCCAGAATGATAAATATTGCTCTATAATGTATCAATTATCATTCACTGGCTAAATAAATAACGAATGCTGTTGCTTTTCGGAAAGCATACACACCACACGCACGCACATACACACCGCCACACAATCACACGCACACTCTCTCACACACACACACACACACACAAACAGGCGCATGCAAGCACACACATACACACACACACACACGAACAAACAATAAATATGCATAAACACACACACAGACTTGGACACAGAAACACACGTAAGCGCATACACACATATAATCAAGTTTATCACAGCTTTGGCAGTAACTAGCTAATAAATAGACTTATACTAAACTAATAACTGTATTTCAAGTTTATAAGCAAGAATGAATTGAATCGGTGAATAGTGATAATTTGATAAAAAAAAAAAAAAAATATATATATATATATATATATATATATATATATATATATATTATACTCATATGTATATACAAATGTCGCTCTAATTAGTAATTAACTTTTAATATAACTTTTAACTTTAATATTAACAATTTTTTTCTGAATTCTGGCGTGCTTTCATTGTTAAACTACGACCACAGAACTTACAACGAAGATCCACTGTTTCATCAGTACAATAACATATTGCATACTCCAGGGGACCAAAAAGAAAGAATGAATTGAAGGTCTGTGGGAGGAGCTGTGACCCAAGCAGCAAATATAAAAGGGAGGACGTCAATCATTCACCATCAGTTTCTAGTCTTCCAGGAGTCGAACCATGAATTCCCTGTTGTTTTCAGGTCAGTGTGGATTATAAAATAATGTTTTTTAATATGCCAACGATTTCATTACTATTACAACAACTACTAATAATTATAATAAATATTCCTTTTTGTTTTCAACAGCTTTTATTTGCGTTGCCGTAGCGGATACTCATAATGGTTTCGGAGCACCTCGTCCTCCCAGCAACGGCTATGCGCCCCCAAGTAACACATATGGCACGCCCAACGGTGGGTATGGAGTAGACCCTGAGATTGCCGCTTTGGCCGAGAACATTCCCGGGGGCGGCGTCCCCGGCGAGGACTACCCCATCTTGGCTTCCGTGCCCGACACCGGCTTCTCTTGCGATGCCCAGTCAGTGCAAGGTTATTACGCTGACACTGAAGCCGGCTGCCAGGTGTTCCATATCTGCCAGGACCGCGCCCTCAGGCGCCAACAGGACTCGTTCCTGTGCCCCAACGGTACCATCTTCAACCAGCAGTACCTGGTATGTGACTGGTGGTTCAACGTGGACTGTTCTCAAGCTGAGAGCTTCTACTCCGTCAACGAACTCATCGGAGTCGTTCCCGACGCCGGATATGCTTATGCCGCCGCCACCAATGGTCTTGCAATTGGCAATGGCAATGGATATGGAAATGGAAGGAAATAAACGAGAAAGGAAACGGTTCTTTCTCCTGCCATGGAACTCACAGCAAATCTCACAACTATAGTATTGTAAATATACATAGATATTTATTTATGCTTCATTGCATCACATAGAGATCGGTTAAAATGCCTTATAACAATAATAAAGAAATAATAAGTTATACTTTATCCTTCATCCTCACACATAAGAATGCACAACGTTGCCATTCCCCATTTCTTTGTGACAACTAATATAATGTGTAAGAAATGATGCATATCACTCCACTTGTGTCTGAGGAATTGGTAAAGGTTATCTGGTTTACTTAATGTATTTCATGATCGTATACAGACTTCCATATAATGGTATTTGTTTACGTATGTGAACATGTTTAACTTTTTTTCATATCTAAACTGCAGATACACTACCTCCTACAAGTAAACTTTTCAGTCATAATAAATAGTATGTACAGAGTATAAAGTATTCATGTGTATATAGTGAATAAAGATACATCGCATCCTCATACCTTTTAATAACCAAAATATTTTACAATACCTTTTCTAGGCTGAAGTTGTACCAAAACTTAAATACCGAATGTTGGCCGATTCTACAGATGTTACCAATTTTGATGACAGCCTTACTAAGCAGTTTTCCCATCTTGGATCTGATACACAATCCTCTTTACGCGGTCGTCGTCCCTGTTGTTACGTACCTTGGATATCTAATAATAATTTTAGACTTTTATCAAGTCACCACTGGTTATCATCAAATCTATGAAGTATATATAAAAAACTGTCAGACTAACAAACAAACAGAAACGTCGACAGAATGCTTCATTGCTTCACGTCCCTCTAACAGGAAATTCCGACTTGTTGAATGAGCCTCATTATTATAAACATTGACCTCTTTACCACAGCTGCATGCAAATGAATAATATTCTGGACAACCTCGTTTTAGTGTATATGTGTGCATAAAAACAATTACATATGTAAACACGACTGTGCGTGTATGTGTGTGTATTTGTATGAATGTATATGTTCATATGTAGGTATATTTACGGTATCTTTAATTTAAATCAAATCTTATGTTGGTTAAGCCCGGCTGCTCTGCAAATGAACCAAAATCCTGGTAATTCTTCAACAAAATCATTCAGAATCTCGTCCGCAAAATAACAAACTATTTGATTTTTTATTAGATTCCAGTGCTTAACGTTATTGCACACGGTATATCTAACGAACATTTTTACTATCCATGCAAAGTTGCCTTTTTAGAATGGTTATGTTATATTAGGTTTTCCTTTCTTTTTTTTAAATGGCGAAATAGATGATCAATGACTAAGTAAAATATCCCTTATTCCCTAAGTAACCAGGTAATTTTGCAAATTTACCACGGTTTTGGCTGAAATACAGACTGCCCGAGAACTTAATGTTCTGTGTGTGTGTTTCTGTGATTATATATATATATATATATATATATATATATATATATATTTAGGTATATATATAATATATATATAAGTATATATATAGTATCTATATCTATGTATGTATATATATCATATATCATATGCACTTGTGTGTGCGTTTATGTACTATATATAATTGCATATATTTGCATACGTACATGTGTGTGTGCCTGGGTAAGTGGGTGAGTGTGTGTGCATATACATATATATGTATACACATACATATATATAGAGTATATAAATGCATATATATATCCATATATATATGCGCGCGTGTGTATTGTGTATTCATTCATGTTCATAAATGTTTGTATGTGCATTATGAACATGAATACACACACACACAGTGTATGCAGTATGTGTGTGGCTGTGTAAATCGTTAGTACCACATCACGATAATAATCAGTGATGGAAAATGTGCTTATAACACATAGATAGCAGCTAGGTAAATCAATAAACACTGATAACTCTAGATTGCACACATATAAATACATATACACCAGTATTTAGTTATTAATCAGTTGTCTTTTAAGTATTTCTCATATATTTTACAGCATGAAACCACCCACAAAATTAAATCTCGATACGGATTTTATATAATCATGGTTGGATATTTCATCAGGTATGCTTCCATGTTGCTTACACCTGTCCGGTCAGAAATGAAATTATGAAATTTTGTGGGAGGAGCTGTGACTCAGTCGGCAGATATATAAGGCTAACCACCAGGCCCCCAGCGTCAGGTACCAGTCTCTTACTATTTGAGTATCTATAACAATGAAGTCTTTCATCTTCTCTGGTTAGTGAAGATGTAACTCGCTAATGTTTCCAATAAGCCAGAGTCAAGTTTTAAATAACAGTAACAGTAACGATGATTATAAGAATACTAAATACAATTATTACCAGAGAAATAACAAATGACGATTATAATAATACACCAATAATAGTGGTTACCCTGACAAAGAATGAACTTAATTTCTGCTTTCCACAGCTATTCTCTGCGTCGTTGTGGCGGACAATCACAATGGCTTCGGAGGCAACGGTAACGGCTTCGGAGCGCCTCCTCCCAGTAATGGTTATGCGCCCCCAAGTAACACATATGGCACGCCCAACGGTGGCTACGGAGTAGACCCTGAGATTGCCGCTTTGGCTGAGAATATTCCCGGGGGCGGTGTCCCCGGCGAGGACTACCCCATCTTGGCTTCCGTGCCCGACACCGGCTTCTCCTGCGATGCCCGTAGCGGTGCAAGGTTATTACGCCGACACTGCAGCTGAAGCCGGCTGCCAGGTGTTCCATATCTGCCAGGACCGCGCCCTCAGGCGCCAACAGGACTCGTTCCTGTGCCCCAACGGTACCATCTTCAACCAGCAGTACCTGGTATGTGACTGGTGGTTCAACGTGGACTGTTCTCAAGCTGAGAGCTTCTACTCCGTCAACGAACTCATCGGAGTCGTTCCCGACGCCGGATATGCGTATGCTGCCGCCACCAATGGTCTTACCATTGGCAATGGTAACGGATATGGAAATGGAAGGAAATGAAATGGAAGTCAGAGTAGCAAAAGACCCTCCAAGCTTTAAAGGAATCCCTTTCTAGCGGATCTTACAATGATAATGTAAATACAATAATAATGTAGAGATATACATTAATTTCTCGTTTTTCAAACTAACAATATCCTAACACAAATACAGATTCAAAGTTGCGGCTCTGCCACAGTTGTAGTTCCTCAGACCAACTCTTCATATTTATTTTAATAATAACCCTACGTTATCATAACAACAGTGTGGCAAAGGTAAAAATACGAGTGAAAGACATGATCAGTTCGAATGGAAGATATTCCTAAATATCATGTCAGGTTAAAGTTTCATTTTATTCACCGAGCTTCGGTATGAATCCAATCCATAGTCATTCACAACGCTGCATATGAAAAGGGCAAAATGAAAAATTACGTCATTCCAAAAATCGATTTTGGAAATGGTACCTGAGACGGCAATATATTGTATGTGTGTGTGCACATAAAGCTATAAAGATTTTCATCAAGTATATATGAGAGATATACATACTGCATGTATGTGCATATGGATATATATATGCACATATACATATATACTCACACAATCCCAAATATATACATACATATACATATTTACCATTCTGTATCTATCTATCGATTCCCATCTATCGACCTATATATATGTATAGATATGTATCTATCTCTCTTCATATATATATATATATATATGTATGTACGTATGCCTATATATGAATGCAATCTTATTGCCCATATATGTATATATATACATATATGTGTGTGTGTGTGTTTATGTGTGTGCATGCATGTACGTATATATGTTTATATACATATATATGTATACATATATATTTATGTACATATGCGTATGCATGTATATACCTGTATATCTATATATACATGTATGTGTATATATATGTATGTATGTGTGAGTATATTCAATCATACATGCATACTTATATATATATGTATATTCATACCTATACATACAGATATATGTATGTATAGGTATGAATATGCATATATGTATATATACATATACATATATGTATAATACATATATATGTATGTATGATATATATATATAATGGACAGTTCTGAAAAAAAAATTAACTACCTGCGTTAATCAAATGAAAATTATCATGACTTTTCGTTGCCTAAAATCGAAGGTAAATCTTTACCCATAATCAACGCGGCAGTCGTAAATCCTCCACAAGGCAGCGGTTCCACAAACTTTCCAGGCACTGAACCTCCTCCCAGGCTATGGCCGCGTCCTGCCACGGCCTGCTGCCTCCGTCGCTTTTCTCCACACGTTCATACGGGGCAGCATTTCTTCTTATTGACTCATTTATGTCCAGCATTACCTAAATGTCACGCTTTTTCCACTCAGTAGTATTGTTTGTCATGTATCTCTAACCTAAAATAGGCCTGAACAGGATAAACAGTCATGCAGATTATGCATGTGCCATGTTATCAGGTGTTCGAGCTTGCACACACTTTGGTCATTAGCAGGGAATGGAAGTGTAGAGCTTCCTGACCAAAACAACGACCTCGTCTAAAATGTCTGCAAACTGCATTTTTCATTGCAAGGAGTATTGTTTTTCATAATATATATAAGTATATATATTCATATATGTATACGTATGTATGTATGTATATATATATATATATATATATATATATATATATATATGCATAGATATATATGCATATACATGTATGTATATGTATGTACATATTGTGCTTTCCTTTCTGGCCTATAGATGTATATATATATATATATATATATATATATATATATATATATATATATGTATGTGTGTGTGTGTGTGTGTGTGTATATGCAAATATATATGTAAATATATATATATATATATATATATATATATATATATATATATATATATATATTTACATATATATGTGTGTGTGTGTGTGTGTATGTATATGTGTGTGTGTGTGAGTATATATATATATGTGTGTGTGTGTGCGTGTGTGTGTGTGTGTGTGTTTGTGTATATATGTATATATATATATATATATATATATATATGTGTGTGTGTGTGTGTGTGTGTGTGTGTGTGTATGTATACATACATACATATTCTGCTTTCTTTTCTAGCCCAAATTAAACATATAGATTCTACATTAATAAATACGTTTATTTGTAAGCATATTATGTTCTTCCTCGATTCCTGATAAATAACAGTGAATTTACCTAGCGTGATATATGTCATACCCAGTTTTGGACAAATAATAATACTTACAATTTAAGTAATGCTTTATAGCTAATTGAAATTGCTAATACGTCAGAATTAAAGCTTACAAGGCAAAATTCGGCCTCTAAAATGTAGAAATATAAATATATAAATACATACTCACTGTAACTGTATTTGTGTCTATGTGTTGGGTGAACATTCACTCGAAATGTCACAAATATACCCAATTTCATCAACGGCCGTTAGTAAGTCATTAAAGACAAATATATGTGCATTTTATTTACAAATTACAATTAGGTGAATCAACAGATGATAACAATTACTTGACTATACTTGTATAGAAATATAAGTACTTATTTCTATTGATGTCTTTCCTGTTTCTCAGACATTTTCCATTTGATGGTGAAATCGATGCTAAATTTCGATCCCAGTCCAGATCTTGCGTAATCGAGATCCACTCTTTCATCAGGATTGCTGACTCGCTGCATTTCCCCGAGTGACCCACAGACGCCCACGAAGGTCAGTGGGAGGAGCTGTACCTCGGTCAGCAGACATATAAGGCTGACTAACAACATTTCAGCAACAGTTCCCAGTCTCTCGACACTAGATTCCTCTGAACAATGCATTCTCTTGTCTTATCTGGTGAGTGTGATTTTGGAACATTAATATGACAGCAAATCCAATCATAGTACGTAACTGTCCTTAAAGATCATTATGCATATTAAATAACAGACTTATTATTATTTTCTACTAGTACTTGTTTTGTTATTGTTACAGCAATACTATCATTAATAACAAGTAGTTGATTTACTTTTTGTTTTCAACAGCTGTTCTCTGCGTCGTTGTGGCGGACAATCACAATGGCTTCGGAGCGCCCTCTCCTCCCAGCAACGGGTATGCGCCCCCAAGTAACACCTATGGCACGCCCAACGGTGGGTACGGAGTAGACCCGGAGATTGCCGCTTTGGCCGAGAACATTCCTGGGGGCGGTGTCCCCGGCGAGGACTACCCTATCTTGGCTTCCGTGCCCGACACCGGCTTCTCCTGTGATGCCCAGTCAGTGCAGGGTTATTACGCCGACACTCAAGCCGGCTGCCAGGTGTTCCATATCTGCCAGGACCGCGCCCTCAGGCGCCAACAGGACTCGTTCCTGTGCCCCAACGGTACCATCTTCAACCAGCAGTACCTGGTATGTGACTGGTGGTTCAACGTGGACTGTTCTCAAGCTGAGAGCTTCTACTCAGTCAACGAACTCATCGGAGTCGTTCCTAACGCCGGTTATGCTTATGCTGCCGCTACCAATGGTCTTGCCATTGGCAACGGCAACGGGTATGGAAATAATAGGAAATAAATAATGATAGGAATAGCATCTGCTTTTAGCGATTTCCGGTGAAATGATAATCCTTTCATGATTAATCGACTAGTTTCATAATTACTAGTTTAACAAATCAAGCATAGTTGCAACATATGTCTGATTTATACATGTTATATTTATTCCCAATATTTATTCACGAAATAAAATGAAAACGATGAATTTTAAGTTTTACTTCTTATATCTAATGGTGTTTAAAACAAATGTCTTGGTGTTAACCTATAACACCCGTTACAGCCACGCTGCAGAAGGGTAGCTGTTAATGAGATTGCAAGATTACGAAGAGAAGAAAAGTAATTTGTTCTAAAACAGTTTGATAAAATGCTAATTAAAGGTTAAGCTGATCCGCCAAATGGCTTTTTCTTCGGTTCGCATTGGTTATTGTATGTTTTACACTCACTCAGTTTGTTTTTGTTTTTCGAAATTAATTCAGGCAGATAATTCAAAACGTGTGTAGATTTACATTTGGGCATAGTTACATGTATGATTGTTGTATGGAGTGGAGATGGGTTGTGTCTGTGTCATCATTTGATACATTTTCGGCGTTGCACATGGGAACCGATTTCCACTTGTCCACTTGAATGTGCGAAAACTATATTTCTTAATGTGAACCGAGGACAAGAGCAACGAATGATAGGTAGAAATGACTTTTACTGTGAGTATTAAAAACTCTCTGAAAAGTCACAGTATGGTTAGCTTTCACTAAAAATTGCACATGACGTTTTAAAAAAAAATAACCATGGACCCACATCGGCTTAACAAATGAAACTAGAAATGTCGCCATCGAATTAGTAGTCATAATTGACATCAGTATCATTACTCCTACCAATGATACTTTTGTCCCGATGACGCCCCTGTTACACAACAAAGAAAATACCTATATATAACATGAGATGCACAAGAGAGTCAAAAGACCGAAAATCTTACATCTAACTTGATTAATTTTGCCTTCTGTTTTTAGTGTATGCAGTGACTTGTTCATTATTTTTTTGTTTATCCTTATGCATCTGTGTGTATGTATGTGCATGCTTTGTGAGAATTTTACATGCATGTGTGAATATATTACATTATATATACATATATACACATAGACATACACCTACACACGCATATATAACATATACATATATATACATATATTCATATAAATGTGTATATATAATATAAATATACATATACTTATACATACATACACACACATACATATATACAAATGCATATATATATATATATATATATATATATATATATATTGCCAGTGCCGAAGCCTGTATACTCACCGTTCATTAGCTGAGTAAATAATGCAAAACCGGTGTTGCAGATCATCTTCGGAATTTCAAGGAATTTTTGTTTCGTGCTAATGCATCTTACTATTAGAAATGATTATTTTTTTATTTATTCATTTATTTTTTGTGAGATTGTGTTTTTGATTGTTGATTTTCTCCCAAAACACTTACGTTCAACTCTGCAATGTTAGTCTCTATTTTTTTTTTTTTTTTTTTAATCCCTGAAAAAGATTTAGCAAGGTAATGAAGAGCAGGATTGATTCTATGGACTCTTTCTAATAATAATTAATATTAACTCTGTTTGCTGCAATTAGCCATAGTCACCTTGCAGCTCGATATCATACATTTGTTGCATTTTTTTCCAGGATACTCATATAACCTCTAGTCGTTGAAAGGGGTAAAAGAGGGTATTTTCCTCTAAAATGTAATTTTATATAAATACGGTAGATATAACTTTCCATGTTATCTTTATTAAATTAATTCAGTACCGCCATATATAAAATACAGACAAAGCCGGACATCATGTTAATCCGGTATTATTGCCTAATGAGAACATTGGGCAATTGCTAGATGAGATATAAACACGTAAATAAATAACTACTTAGACATATTTACAGTATTACTGCTGTGAGGTCCGTTAGAGAGGAGCTCCGTAAGAAGCTAAAAAGAGTCGTCGCCCTTCTGACTTCCACATCTACCATATCATTTCCTTCCATTTCCATATCCGTTGCCGTTGCCACTGGTAAGACCATTGGTAGGGGCAGCGTAAGCATAGCCAGCGTCGGGAACGACTCCGATGAGCTCGTTGACGGAGTAGAAGCTCTCGGCTTGAGAACAGTCCACGTTGAACCACCAGTCACATACCAGGTACTGCTGGTTGAAGATGGTACCGTTGGGGCACAGGAACGAGTCCTGTTGGCGCCTGAGGGCGCGGTCCTGGCAGATATGGAACACCTGGCAGCCGGCTTGAGTGTCAGCGTAATAACCTTGCACTGACTGGGCATCGCAGGAAAAGCCGGTGTCGGGCACGGAAGCCAAGATGGGGTAGTCCTCGCCGGGGACGCCGCCTCCGGGAATGTTCTCGGCCAAAGCGGCAATCTCAGGGTCTACTCCGTACCCACCGTTGGGTGTGCCATAGGTGTTACTTGGGGGTGCATAGCCATTGCTGGGAGGAGATGGTGCTCCGAAGCCATTGTGATTGTCCGCCACAACGACGCAGAGAACAGCTGTAGAAAACAAAACAAACGAATAATTAATTATCGTTATTTATACTTGTAAGTGATGAAATATTTTGCGTGTTAAAGATCCTATCTTATAATCTACGCTAACCAGAAAAAAATACATATTTCATAAGCCACACTAACCAGAAAATATCAGGTAATTCATGGCTCGAATCCTGGAAGACTGGATACTGATGGTGAATGATTGACGTCCAGCCTTTTATATTTGCTGCTTGGGTCACAGCTCCTCCCACAGACCTTCAATTCATTTTTTTTTTTTCTTCTTTTTTTTTTTTGTACCCTGGAGTATGCAACATGTTATTATACTGATGAAATAGTGGATCTTCGTTGTTCTGCGGTCGCAGTTTAACAATGAGTCTACGTCAGAATTTAGAAAAGTTGAATTTAGAAAAGTTAGAATAGGTTAAAATAAAATGTTAGACAATAAACCGAGTGATATATCTGGATATATTTATATGCATATGTGTATATACACATATATGTGTATATATTCATATAAATGTGTATATATACATATATATGTATACAAATATATATATACATATTTTTTTTTCTAATTGAATTATCATTGCTTAATTCATTTTATCCATAAATCAAGAGTGCAGTTTTTAGCACTTATCTGTTTAAGCTAGTTACTGCCAAAGTTCTGACTATATGTGTGTTTGTGTGTGCTTATGCGTGTATGTATGTGTCTGTGTGTGCGTGCGTTTTATATATGTACTTCTTATACTAGCATGCAAATGTTTTTTGCGTGTGCTTGTATGCGTATGTGTTACTTGATGTATGTAAATATGCTTTTGTATGTGTGTGTGTAAGAGAGAGCATGCATGTATATGTACGCGCATATGTACGTACCTGCGTGTATGGTACGCATGTATTTGTGTATCTGTTTATGAGTGTGTAGGTGTATACGTGTATTTGTGTGTGGGTAGATGTGTATGCCGCTATGTCTATGCGCGTGCTTGTGGTGTGTTAATGGTTTCTGTCACTGTGTATTTATGTGTGTGTCTGCCATATGATTCACACCTATCAAGCCATATTGCCTCATATAAATAATAATGAGAATAACAACAACAGCAGCAACAACAATAATAAGAGAAAAAACACGTATAAGGTTTGATTATAGGGTCCCCTTTCATTGGAGCTATAGAGTTCAGCATTGCAGGGGACAATAACACTTTCCAAGCTAGGCTGCTTATGAGAACCGCAGGCCATTTATTAATACATTACTTATATCATTGGAGTCCTAACTGACAAGGAGTCTAAATATTTGATAATATATCATCGTACAGATTATTTTATTTGTATTTTCATATATTATCTTCGTTTTCTTTTTTAAGTCACTGTAAATTATCTATACACACTGTATTCTATACGTGTATTGTACACACACACACACACATATATATATTCAGACTAGAACGAGACTTTCAAGAATACTATCAATTTCTTGCAGATGGGGTACTGAGGTCAAAGCATGCGTGTGAAATGAAATGCATTCACTTCGTCATAATTCAGGTTTAGAGCCACATGAAGCAATGGAGTAGTTTCTCTCTATATTATATATCTTTAGGTACTTTTAAGATGTTAGATTATCAAAAAAAAAAAAAATGTCTCAGGGATGGCATTTAGTCAGCCATTATCATTAAACCAATGACAATTCCAACGGTTATCTCTACTTTATAGATATCAAACCGATCAATTAATGTGGGAAATATTTGCTTGTCAAGTTCATTTTCAGGCTTTTGGTAGCGGTAAATGTTAGCTCCTAAACCGTTTCTTAGTTTCTATGGATAACTGTGTGTGTGCGTGTATGTTCTGAGACAGTTTAACCTGATCTGGAATTCCCTCAGTCACAATTTTAAAGTGATAAACTTGGGCCTCGTTCGTATCTTTTTATATTTCTTTTGTTGCCAATAGAAAATGGAAATCACCAAGCTATTGCGTGAAGATTTAACCCTTAGGTGCAATAATAAGGATAGTGTTTTTTTTTTCTATTTATACGGGTTCAGGGAATGAATACTGTAAGGTATACAATTCGAACAGCAGGTACCTTCAGGTAATCCAGCAAAGATGCCAAATTCGAGAGCCAGACAATAGTTAATCTAAAATTAATACATAAATATCTATATATATTTACAATAGTACTGTAGAAAGGAGTTCCATGAAAGCTGGGGGCGCCGTTTCCTATTCATACTTCTTTTTCATTTCCTTTTATTTCCATATCCGTTGCCGTTGCCAATGGTAAGACCATTGGTGGCAGCAGCATACTCATAACCGGCCTTGGGGACGACTCCGATGAGTTCGTTGACGGAGTAGAAGCTCTCAGCTTGAGAACAGTCCACGTTGAACCACCAGTCACATACCAGGTACTGCTGGTTGAAGATGGTACCGTTGGGGCACAGGAACGAGTCCTGTTGGCGCCTGAGGGCGCGGTCCTGGCAGATATGGAACACCTGGCAGCCGGCTTCAGCTGCAGTGTCGGCGTAATAACCTTGCACCGCCTGGGCATCGCAGGAGAAGCCGGTGTCGGGCACGGAAGCCAAGATGGGGTAGTCCTCGCCGGGGACGCCGCCCCCGGGAATGTTCTCGGCCAAAGCGGCAATCTCAGGGTCTACTCCGTATCCACCGTTGGGCGTGCCATATGTGTTACTCGGGGGCGCATACCCGTTGCTGGGAGGACGCGGCGCTCCGAAGCCATTGTGCGTATCCGCTACGGCAACGCAAATAAAAGCTGTTGAAAACAAAAGGAATATTTAAAATTATTAGTAGTTGTAATAATAATGAAGTAGTTGGCAGATTAAAAATCTTTATTTCATAATCCACACTAACCAGAAAAAATCAGGTGATTCATGGCTCGAATCCTGGGAGACTAGAAACTGATGGTGAATGATTGACGTCCAGCCTTTTATATTTGCTGCTTGGGTCACAGCTCCTCCCACAGACCTTCAATTCATTTTTTTTTTTTTTTTTTTTTTTTTTACCCTGGAGTATGCAACATGTTATTATACTGATGAAATAGTGTATCTTCGTTGTTCTGCTGTCGCAGTTTAACAATGAGTGCAGTAAATAGTGATTGTATTTATAGATTTATATGTATGTGTGCGTATATATACATATATATGTATACATACAATAATGTGTATATATACAGACATGTATACATATAAAAATGTGTAATAATACATACATATGTATATATATAAATATATATATACATATATATTTTTACTAATTGAATTATCACTGTTTACAGATTCGATTCATTCTTATCCATAAACCAAAAGCTCAGTTCTTAGTACTTATCTATTTTAGCTAGATATTCTCAAAGTTATGATAATATACATGAGTGTGTGTGCGTGTTTTGTGTATGCGCATCGCATACTTGTATACAGCTGTTTTCTGTGTATGTACATGTGTGTGTATGTGTGTGTATGTATAAGCGTATGCGTGTATTTATTTGTGGGTAGATGGTTGTTGGTGTTATTGGTGTGTGTTATGTGTATGTTCGTGCTTGTGGTGTGTACATGAGTGTGTTACTGAGTTTTGTAATTGTTTGTTTGTGTTTTTGTGTGTCTCTTATATGATTCACACATATCAGGCCATATCGCTTCAAATAAAAATAATGACAATAAGAACAACGGCAACAATAATAATAACAACAACAGCAACAATAATAATAATAAGCGAAAAATATAAGGTTTGATTATAGAGTCCCCTTTGATTGGAATTATAGAATTCAGTTTCCAAGCTAGGCTGCTTATGAGTACTGCATTTATTAATACATTACTTTTATTATTTGAGTCCTAACTGTCAAGGCCTAAAGGACCCAGGTACGATTATTTGGCCAAAAATATATTTTAAAAAATTGGTAAATGTCGAAAAATGGTAAAACAGTTGGTGAACACTTCTGCAAAATTTCTTGGGCATCAGACAATATTTACTAAGTTTGAATACTGGGTTTGTTTACATCATGACGCACACGCACGTGGACGAGTCATGTTGCCCTTTATTTTTTTTTCGCCCGATTTTTATGCTGTTTCGCGTTTTTTAAAGAAAAATGGTACGCTCTACATTCAAACATCGACACGAGTGCACCTCCGCTGTCATATCTACGCTTCCCTAAGTGTTTTTTTTTTTTTTTTTTTTTTTTTTTTTGGGGGGGGGAGGAAAGGTCGAGAAGATACCGAAGATGAAATAAATAAATGCGAAGGCAAGAAACACCTCGCAAGCATCCCGAAGACTCCGTGAATCGAGGAGGAGGGAGGAGGAAATTATACGCTCCACTCCAGGAAGTTCTATGTTCCACAGAGAATGTCCCAGGGGTGAGGCTACTTACAGGCGGCAAAGGTCTAAGACTCTTGCTCACAACACTCAGAATGTTTCATTTGAATGTGGTATGATGTATTTGTCGGTAACCCTGTTCATATCTCATTAGTTTGCACATTAGGTCTATGCAAAGATGGGAAATGTTTTGTCGAGGTTTTCCTTAGATGTATTTCCTCTTTTTATTAGATCAGTTTGATCATTAGATGAGTGGGTATTTCTCCAGGATAATCATATTAGCAGGACACATTTCACCAATATATTTACAATTTATACAAAGTAAATGACAATATCTGCATCCGCAAGAAACGGGACATATGGCTGGTACAAAAGAGGGGTCTTCACAGACAACTTGTTTGCTGGCGAGATATCAAATCTGAGCACAAACCCTTGTCAGCTGTCTTGAAAAGGTGCTTCCGAGTTATTGTCAGGTTTCTCCTTCATAAATGTGGAGAAAAGGGTGTGTATGGACTCGGAGCTTGGAGCCATGTGAAGGTCGTGCTGAATGGGTCACCGACCTTGCTTTGGTCGCGGGAACGGTACCAAGGAACGCATACACGCACACGCACATACACGAATTAATTGAAAGAAAATGGACATTGTATATCCAAGTTAAGGTAACCTTACACTAACCCTGGACATGTTTACTGCGTGTTTATCGAAAATATGATTTTGCTAAAGTAATGGTACTGTGATTGGAACTACTCCAACAATTCTTGCTCGATTTGCATGATCTTTTGTGTGTACAACGCTGATACTTTGTTCTGAAAACCGGAGCTCTTACTTTACCTCTAAATTGAAAATTAAATTTTTCAGGGAGGTTTTAGTTTTTATGCAGTAAAAAATGCGAACTTCTACTTCGAAATAACACCAGCAGATAACCACTGTACATGCATAATAAAACTGAGCTTGAGGTTTTGCATCATACCCATTACACTTAAAGGCATACAATGAAATAGCTACGGAGAAGTAACTCAAGGAAGATATGCTATTTTATTCGTGCATTTAAAGAGTATTATTTGTTTTACTAAACTAAGCATCCTACCTTTATTAGGAGAAAAAAACACGAGAATGGTACACATGGTTCTAAAGTCTAAATATTTGATAACTTAATATCCTACAGATTAATTGATTACATTTTCATTTGTTGCAGATCGGGTACCGAGGTCAATGCATGCGTGTGAAGTGAGGTGCATTCACCTAGTCATACTTCAGGTTTAAAGCCACATGAAGCAGTATGACAGGTTCTTTCTATATTCTTTAGGTACCATTAAGCTTTTAAATCATGCCAAATTCTCCAAAAATCTGCTGTCACAAGGATGGCATTTAATCGGTCATTGAATTTACTCAACCGACGATTCCAACTATTATCTCTGTTCTATAAATTTCAAACTGACCAATTAATGTGAGAAATACAGGGCTTGTCAGGTTCATTTTCAGGCTTTTCGTCTCACCCAAGATACTAAATTCAACAAAGTTCGATCAAAACCTAATATACTGCAAATATTAGTAACAAGCAGGTACAGTTTGAAAAAAAAAAAAAAAAATACATATTAGTGTCTCAGTAACAGCGGCATCTAAAGGGAAACTGCTGTGTGTGTGTTTTTTGAGACAGTTAAGCATGAGCAAACACGTTAGCATTTCCCTTTTCTTTTTTATCTGGAATTCTCAAGTCACAATTTTGAAATGATATACTTAGGCCTCGATTGTACCTTGTATTATTATTATTTTTTTTTTGCCAATAGAAAATGGAAATCACCAAGCTATGGCGTGAAGATTTCCCCTTTAGGTGCAATTGTAAGGATAGTGCAAATGGGTGTAAATGTTTTCTTTCTGTTTATTCGGATGCAGGAAATAAATACTGTAAGGTATACAATTCAGACAGAGCAAGTACCTTCAGGTAATCCAGCAAAGATGCGAAAATTGAGAGCCAGACAATAATTGATTTAAAATCAATGTATAAATATCTATACATATTTACAATACTATTTTAGAAAGGAGTTCCATGAAAGCTGGAGGAGCCGTTTGCCATTCTTACTTCCTTTTCATTTCCTTCTATTTCCATATCCGTTACCATTGCCAATGGCAAGACCATTGGTGGCAGCAGCATACTCATAACCGGCGTTAGGAACGACTCCGATGAGTTCGTTGACGGAGTAGAAGCTCTCAGCTTGAGAACAGTCCACGTTGAACCACCAGTCACATACCAGGTACTGCTGGTTGAAGATGGTACCGTTGGGGCACAGGAACGAGTCCTGTTGGCGCCTGAGGGCGCGGTCCTGGCAGATATGGAACACCTGGCAGCCGGCTTGAGTGTCAGCGTAATAACCTTGCACTGACTGGGCATCGCAAGAGAAGCCGGTGTCGGGCACGGAAGCCAAGATGGGGTAGTCCTCACCGGGGACGCCACCCCCAGGAATGTTCTCGGCCAAGGCGGCAATCTCAGGGTCTACTCCGTAGGCGCCATTGGGCGTGCCATATGTGTTACTTGGGGGCGCATAGCCGTTGCTGGGAGGACGAGGCGCTCCGAAGCCATTATGAGTATCCGCTACGGCAACGCAAATAAAAGCTGTTGAAAACAAAAAGGAATATTTATTATAATTATTAGTAGTTGTTGTAATAGTAATGAAATCGTTGGCATATTAAAAAACCTTATTTTATAATCCACACTGACCTGAAAACAACAGGGAATTCATGGTTCGACTCCTGGAAGACTAGAAACTGATGGTGAATGATTGACGTCCTTCCTTTTATATTTGCTGCTTGGGTCACAGCTCCTCCCACAGACCTTCAATTCATTCTTTCTTTTTGGTCCCCTGGAGTATGCAATATGTTATTGTACTGATGAAACAGTGGATCTTCGTTGTAAGTTCTGTGGTCGTAGTTTAACAATGAAAGCACGCCAGAATTCAGAAAAAAAAACTTATTAATATTAAAAGTTAAAAGTTATATTAAAAGTTAATTACTAATTAGAGCGACATTTGTATATACATATGAATATAATATATATGTGTATATACCTATATATATATATATATATATATATATATATACTTTTTTTTTTTATCAAATTATCACTATTCACCGATTCAATTCATTCTTGCGGGCGCATGAAAATACAGTTATTAGTTTAGTATAAGTCTATTTATTAGCTAGCTACTGCCAAAGCTGTGATAAACTTGATTATATGTGTGTATGCGCTTACGTGTTTCTGTGCCCAAGTCTGTGTGTGTGTTTATGCATATTTATTGTTTGTTCGTGTGTGTGTGTGTGTGTGTGCTTGCATGCACCTGTTTGTGTGTGTGTTAGTGTGTGAGAGAGTGTGCGTGTGATTGTGTGGCGGTGTGTATGCGTGTGCGTGTGGTGTGTATGCTTTCCGAAAAGCAACGGCATTCGTTATTTATTTAGCCAGTGGATGATAATTGATACATTATAGACCAATATTTATCATTCTGGGATTCGTTACTGACATACATACATATATATGTGTGTGTGTGTGTGTGTGTGTGTACGCGCGCATAAATATCTGTTTATGTCTCTCTCTCTCTGTATATACATATTAGATGTATATATAAACATATGTATATATATGCGTGTATGTGTGTGTGTGTACATATACATTTTTTGCATGTATATCTATATTGATATATAGATATCTATATCTATATACATGTATGTGGATATGTGTGTATGTGCTTATATACACATGTGTGGGTTATTTATGTATATATATATACAAGTCATTGAAGACAAGTACAATAATAAAAAATATATATTGCAAAATGAAATAAGCTAAATGCAAGATTCTGTGGCATAAGATCTTTCATCTCTGGTTATATTTAGGTACTTTGTTGTGCAAAAGGGGAGTTAGAAAGTAACACTGATAAGAATAATGATAATGTTATCAATTATGATACTGTTATTCTTAGGACGATGATTTTTTTTTTTCTTCGTCTTTTCTTTTAGTTTTTGATTTTGGAAGCTGGTAAGGGTGTACTGTAAGATTCACAGAACACTTTTCATTAATAACTATTTAGGCAAGATACACCATACAGTGTCTACCAGAGGGTGCTTCAGGTTGCAACACAGGCTTGCGATTCACACTATCTACTTATCTGAAGAAAAAAAAATTCTAGTAAACATGTACATGGAAATTGGGCCCTAAGTGCTCCGACGAAAATGCATCAAATGATGTCACAAACCCCCTCCCCCACGCACACGTACGCGTGAGGGTGCGTATACATACACTGTGAATGGATATGTATGTATATATACTCATACATATTTCAACGACAAACTACTTCAGGTGGTTGTATGCCTTATGATAGCCAAAGAGAATTTAAAAATAATAACAATAAAAAAGAGAAAGTAACTGTTTGGCTGATTAGTATAACCATAGAGTAGCATTATACCAAACGTTTTTTTTTTTTTTTTTTTTTTTTTTTTTTCGAAATAAATATGGTGCTGCCTCATGAGCTAGTAAGGATATCAGCTCATGGATTCACAGAACAAAAAATGTTCATGCTGTGCAAAATCCCCGAGACTTTTGTTTAAGGTGAATCAACTCATACTCATCTCTCTCCCCTAGGTATAAGAAGTGAAGTGTAAAACACATTTCTTCAGAGTTTTCCTTTTATTTCCTGAATAAATATTGGGAATAAATATGTGATATGATACAAATCAGACATATGCAGCAATTATGCTTACTTTGTGAAGCAAATAAATTATGAAGCTAGTCGGTTAATCACGGAAAGAGTCATCTAACCATATTTTGCAATGCCATTGCAAAATTTGCTAAAAAGGAGTTGCCATTTCTATCATTATTCATTTCCTGTTTCCATACCCGTTGCCATTGCCAATGGCAAGACCATTGGTGGCGGCAGAATAAGCATAACCGGCGTCGGGAACGACTCCGATGAGTTCGTTGACGGAGTAGAAGCTCTCGGCTTGAGAACAGTCCACGTTGAACCACCAGTCACATACCAGGTACTGCTGATTGAAGATGGTACCGTTGGGGCACAGGAACGAGTCCTGTTGGCGCCTGAGGGCGCGGTCCTGGCAGATATGGAACACCTGGCAGCCGGCTGCAGCTGCAGTGTCGGCGTAATAACCTTGCACCGCTACGGCATCGCACGAGAAGCCGGTGTCGGGCACGGAAGCCAAGATGGGGTAGTCCTCTCCGGGGACGCCGCCCCCGGGAATATTCTCGGCCAGAGCGGCAATCTCCGGGTCTACTCCGTACCCTCCGTTGGGCGTGCCATATGTATTACTTGGGGGCGCATAGCCGTTGCTGGGAGGAGAGGGCGCTCCGAAGCCATTGTGATTGTCCGCCACAACGACGCAGAGAACAGCTGTTGAAAACGAAAAGTGAACTAATTACTTGTTATTAATAATAGTATTGTTATAACACAATAAAACTAATACTGGTGAAAAGGAAGAATGGCAGTGATGAGTAGAAATTAATAATAATGAGTAATGATATATTATGCATAATGATCTTTAAGGAAAGTTACGTACTATGATTGGATTTGTTGTCATATTGATGTTCCAAAATCACACTCACCAGATAAGACAAGAGAATGCATTGTTCAGAGGAATCTAGTATCGAGAGACTGGGAACTGTTGCTGAAATGTTGTTAGTCAGCCTTATATGTCTGCTGACCGAGGCACAGCTCCTCCCACTGACCTTCGTAGGGCGCCTGTGGGTCACTCGGGGAAATGCAGCGAGTCAGCAATCCTGATGAAAGAGTAGATCTCGATTACGTAAGATCTGGACTGGGATCGAAATTTAGCATCGATTTCACCGTCAAATGAAAAATGTCTGAGAAACAGGAAAGACATCAATAAAAGTAAGCACTGATGTATATATATATGCATGTTTAGTCACATCTTTATTGTTATCTATTGACTTATCTTATTTGTCACTCCTAGGCACAACAGAGACGCATTAATACAGTAATTGTATGTATATGTGAATTATACGTAATATAATTTTACATTATATGAAATATGAATTTGTAGCTTATGTGACACGATTTTTTATTATTCGTAATATCAATTTCTATTATATGTAGCATGAATTTCATATTTCATATGACGAGCTGATTCTGTTTAATGCAATAATTGTGTGTTGTATGTATGTGGCTTGTATTTCTAAGCGGCCCCAAGATTAATTAATTTTCGAAAACTTTAATCGTGACAGACTATTAAAAATTCATGTTGAGGAAAGGAAACTGCCATAAGCCCTTACGGCATTCCAAGTATTAGAGTTTGTACAAAATTGGGTGTGATGCATATGTCACGCTAGGCAAATCCAATCTCATTTTTTCAGGAATCGAGGAGGAACTCGCTCATCTTACAAATAAACATTTGTATTTACAGATTTGTATATGATATGTACGTTATCATAGTTTTATATATTTTTGGGCTAGAAAGGAAAATTGTGTGTGTGTGTGTGCGCGCGCGCGTGTGTGTGTATGTGTGTATATACATACGTATATATATACATATGTGTGTGTGTGTGTGTGTGGAGTGTGTGTGTGTGTGTATTCCCACACACATATCTATATATCTATATCTATCTATCAGGCTATCTCTGTATATGTGTATGTTTATATTGGAATATGTATAGAGATTGTCAAAACTGTATGGAGAAACTTACTATGATAATATTTCTTCACAAATTATCAGAACATAAACAATAGTAATGTCTAGTCATTACTTTCAGATTATAAAAACATAAAGATACTGTGAATGTGTTATATCCTAGTATGAAATATATGTCACACCAGATTGAAGATGATATCCATGAAATTCAGATAAAATAGAGGAGTAACTAGGTCATATAAAGATAATGGTTCATGTACTGGTTGATGGAGTAAATAATTTTAAGTAACTTTTAGAATGAAAAATGCACATCTTGTTGACATTTTAGAAGAGATTGTTCTGGTCAGGGATAAGAGCTACACTTCGGTCCCCTGTCAATGACAACAGTGACAAGTCCAAGATCAAACTGATCTGTCAACATGTCATGTCATATCTACATGACTGTTCGGGCTTATTTAGGTTAGAGATACGTGGCAAACAAGGCCAAATGGAAAAGGGTGGTAAATAAAAAACTGGGTAGAAAAGGGTTAAGAAGAAGAAATGCTGCCCGTATGAACCACGTCGACGTGTGGTGAAAAGCGACGGAGGCAGCGGGCCGTGGCAGGACGCGGCCATAGCCTGGGAGGAGGTTCAGTGCTTGGAAAGTTTGTGGAACCTCTGCCTTGTGGATGATTTACGACTGCCGCGTTGAGTATGGGTAAGGATTTGCCTTCGATTTTAGGCAACGAAATCATAAAAGTGATTTTTTTCTTTGATTAAGGCAGGTACTACCATGACATCTATTCATTCGGAACACACACTCGCACATATACACGCACACTTAAATAGACAGAAAGAGAGGTGTATTACACACATATGAATATATATGTGTGTGTGTGTGTCCAGGCTAAAAAGAGGTTCTCAAGAATACCATTTGTTGCAGAAGTGGTACTGAGGTCAAGGTATGTGTGTGAAATGAGGTGCATTCACCTGGTCATAATTCAGGTTTGAGCCGCGTGAACCAATGAATTAGGCTGCCGCCTTATTCCATCAATTTATGTACTATTATACTATCATTGGCATTAAATTCTTTGAAAGGCGGTTGTCCCAAGGACGGCATTTAGTTGCCACTGAATTTGCACCAACGACAATTCTATTGTCTCTGCTGCTCAGGTTTCAAACTGATTAATTAAATGTAAAAAAATACAGTGCTTACCATCTTCATTTCGGCTTTTTTATCATCCATCGACCTAAATGTACATCATCCAGTGAACTTCGAACATCAAAAACTAACCCGATGCACTCAAGAATAACAGGCAATTTGTAAATGAAAAAGAATATCCACGATATCCGGTGATTCAGTAGCGTGAAATGTTAGCTTCTTAACGTTTCTGAGTTTCTAATGATATATGAATATATATATATACTCACACACACATGTATATGTTTGTGTGCACACACACACTCATTATATGTGTGTTTGTCCGATTTGAGACAGTTAAGCATGAGCAAGTATATTTGCATTTTTTCTGTAATGTCGTCAATCAGTTTTGAAGTAATATATTTCAACCTTGTCCCTTCATTTTATATTTCTTTTGTTGTCAATAGAAAATGAATATTACCATGCCATGGTCGCCATTGTGGTCGGTTGTATATATTTATGTATATCGACTTATTTACTTTCTTTTTTCATATCCCCCCAAAGGGCAATGGTAAGGATACAACGTAAATATTTGTTTCGTGTTTTGTCTAATACGGTGCAGGTGCCTTTAGGTAATACAGCAAAGATGCAAAATTTGAGAGCCAGGCAATTATCATTTTAACAATGATTAATAACTATCTAGATATATTTACAACGTTATTGTAGAAATGTTTCCATGAAAACTGGGAACACCGTTTGCCATTCTCATTTAATTTCATTTCCATGTCCGTTGCCGTTGACAATAGCAAGACTATTTGTGGTGGCAGCGTAGCCATAGCCAGCGTCGGGAACGACTCCGATGAGTTCGTTACTTTTTGTCAAAGGCCACAAGTTTACATATAATTTCTGTCATTTAAGGAAGGAACGATACAATGCACAGTTTTATGTAATATATATTCCAAAATATTTTTACATACAGGTAACTACGAGATGTGTTTAACTGTCGAATACTTTTACAAAACAAAACAAATACGTTTATGCAGGCGAGTAAGAATAGCATAACATGATTTTATAAAGGAGATGGGAAGGGGAAAAGAAGAAAAAGAAAAATGAAAAACTGGTCTAAAACTGGACGAAAAAGAGAAATGTGGGAAGATGAGTGTGAAGTTAAAGAACGCTAAGAGCATTTTGATTCTGAGAACTATGGAGTCTTTGACAGAAGCGGCTTACTAAGGAACACCATAGGAATTAGAAGGAGCCCCGTAACCGTTTCCATTGCCACCCAGACCATTCCTTCCGTTGCCATTTCCATTCCTACCGTTGCCGTTAATACCCGGGCCATAACTGTATCCGGCGTTAGGAACGACTCCGATGAGTTCGTTGACGGAGTAGAAGCTCTCAGCTTGAGAACAGTCCACGTTGAACCACCAGTCACATACCAGGTACTGCTGGTTGAAGATGGTACCGTTGGGGCACAGGAACGAGTCCTGTTGGCGCCTGAGGGCGCGGTCCTGGCAGATATGGAACACCTGGCAGCCGGCTTCAGTGTCAGCGTAATAACCTTGCACTGACTGGGCATCGCAAGAGAAGCCGGTGTCGGGCACGGAAGCCAAGATGGGGTAGTCCTCACCGGGGACGCCGCCCCCGGGAATGTTCTCGGCCAAGGCGGCAATCTCAGGGTCTACTCCGTAGGCGCCATTGGGCGTGCCATATGTGTTACTTGGGGGCGCATAGCCGTTGCTGGGAGGACGAGGCGCTCCGAAGCCATTATGAGTATCCGCTACGGCAACGCAAATAAAAGCTGTTGAAAACAAAAAGGAATATTTATTATAATTATTAGTAGTTGTTGTAATAGTAATGAAATCGTTGGCATATTAAAAAATCTTATTTTATAATCCACACTGACCTGAAAACAACAGGGAATTCATGGTTCGACTCCTGGAAGACTAGAAACTGATGGTGAATGATTGACGTCCTTCCTTTTATATTTGCTGCTTGGGTCACAGCTCCTCCCACAGACCTTCAATTCATTCTTTCTTTTTGGTCCCCTGGAGTATGCAATATGTTATTGTACTGATGAAACAGTGGATCTTCGTTGTAAGTTCTGTGGTCGTAGTTTAACAATGAAAGCACGCCAGAATTCAGAAAAAAAAACTTATTAATATTAAAAGTTAAAAGTTATATTAAAAGTTAATTACTAATTAGAGCGACATTTGTATATACATATGAATATAATATATATGTGTATATACCTATATATATATATATATATATACTTTTTTTTATCAAATTATCACTATTCACCGATTCAATTCATTCTTGCGGGCGCATGAAAATACAGTTATTAGTTTAGTATAAGTCTATTTATTAGCTAGCTACTGCCAAAGCTGTGATAAACTTGATTATATGTGTGTATGCGCTTACGTGTTTCTGTGCCCAAGTCTGTGTGTGTGTTTATGCATATTTATTGTTTGTTCGTGTGTGTGTGTGTGTGTGTGTGCTTGCATGCACCTGTTTGTGTGTGTGTTAGTGTGTGAGAGTGTGCGTGTGATTGTGTGGCGGTGTGTATGCGTGTGCGTGTGGTGTGTATGCTTTCCGAAAAGCAACAGCATTCGTTATTTATTTAGCCAGTGGATGATAATTGATACATTATAGATCAATATTTATCATTCTGGGATTCGTTACTGACATACATACATATATATGTGTGTGTGTGTGTGTGTGTGTGTACGCGCGCATAAATATCTGTTTATGTCTCTCTCTCTCTGTATATACATATTAGATGTATGTATAAACATATGTATATATATGTGTGTATGTGTGTGTGTGTACATATACATTTTTTGCATGTATATCTATATTGATATATAGATATCTATATCTATATACATGTATGTGGATATGTGTGTATGTGCTTATGTACACATGTGTGGGTTATTTATGTATATATATATACAAGTCATTGAAGACAAGTACAATAATAAAAAATATATATTGCAAAATGAAATAAGCTAAATGCAAGATTCTGTGGCATAAGATCTTTCATCTCTGGTTATATTTAGGTACTTTGTTGTGCAAAAGGGGAGTTAGAAAGTAACACTGATAAGAATAATGATAATGTTATCAATTATGATACTGTTATTCTTAGGACGATGATTTTTTTTTTCTTCGTCTTTTCTTTTAGTTTTTGATTTTGGAAGCTGGTAAGGGTGTACTGTAAGATTCACAGAACACTTTTCATTAATAACTATTTAGGCAAGATACACCATACAGTGTCTACCAGAGGGTGCTTCAGGTTGCAACACAGGCTTGCGATTCACACTATCTACTTATCTGAAGAAAAAAAAATTCTAGTAAACATGTACATGGAAATTGGGCCCTAAGTGCTCCGACGAAAATGCATCAAATGATGTCACAAACCCCCTCCCCCACGCACACGTACGCGTGAGGGTGCGTATACATACACTGTGAATGGATATGTATGTATATATACTCATACATATTTCAACGACAAACTACTTCAGGTGGTTGTATGCCTTATGATAGCCAAAGAGAATTTAAAAATAATAACAATAAAAAAGAGAAAGTAACTGTTTGGCTGATTAGTATAACCATAGAGTAGCATTATACCAAACGTTTTTTTTTTTTTTTTTTTTTTTTTTTTTTCGAAATAAATATGGTGCTGCCTCATGAGCTAGTAAGGATATCAGCTCATGGATTCACAGAACAAAAAATGTTCATGCTGTGCAAAATCCCCGAGACTTTTGTTTAAGGTGAATCAACTCATACTCATCTCTCTCCCCTAGGTATAAGAAGTGAAGTGTAAAACACATTTCTTCAGAGTTTTCCTTTTATTTCCTGAATAAATATTGGGAATAAATATGTGATATGATATAAATCAGACATATGCAGCAATTATGCTTACTTTGTGAAGCAAATAAATTATGAAGCTAGTCGGTTAATCACGGAAAGAGTCATCTAACCATATTTTGCAATGCCATTGCAAAATTTGCTAAAAAGGAGTTGCCATTTCTATCATTATTCATTTCCTGTTTCCATACCCGTTGTCATTGCCAATGGCAAGACCATTGGTGGCGGCAGAATAAGCATAACCGGCGTCGGGAACGACTCCGATGAGTTCGTTGACGGAGTAGAAGCTCTCGGCTTGAGAACAGTCCACGTTGAACCACCAGTCACATACCAGGTACTGCTGATTGAAGATGGTACCGTTGGGGCACAGGAACGAGTCCTGTTGGCGCCTGAGGGCGCGGTCCTGGCAGATATGGAACACCTGGCAGCCGGCTGCAGCTGCAGTGTCGGCGTAATAACCTTGCACCGCTACGGCATCGCACGAGAACCCGGTGTCGGGCACGGAAGCCAAGATGGGGTAGTCCTCTCCGGGGACGCCGCCCCCGGGAATATTCTCGGCCAGAGCGGCAATCTCCGGGTCTACTCCGTACCCTCCGTTGGGCGTGCCATATGTATTACTTGGGGGCGCATAGCCGTTGCTGGGAGGAGAGGGCGCTCCGAAGCCATTGTGATTGTCCGCCACAACGACGCAGAGAACAGCTGTTGAAAACGAAAAGTGAACTAATTACTTGTTATTAATAATAGTATTGTTATAACACAATAAAACTAATACTGGTGAAAAGGAAGAATGGCAGTGATGAGTAGAAATTAATAATAATGAGTAATGATATATTATGCATAATGATCTTTAAGGAAAGTTACGTACTATGATTGGATTTGTTGTCATATTGATGTTCCAAAATCACACTCACCAGATAAGACAAGAGAATGCATTGTTCAGAGGAATCTAGTATCGAGAGACTGGGAACTGTTGCTGAAATGTTGTTAGTCAGCCTTATATGTCTGCTGACCGAGGCACAGCTCCTCCCACTGACCTTCGTGGGCGCCTGTGGGTCACTCGGGGAAATGCAGCGAGTCAGCAATCCTGATGAAAGAGTAGATCTCGATTACGTAAGATCTGGACTGGGATCGAAATTTAGCATCGATTTCACCGTCAAATGAAAAATGTCTGAGAAACAGGAAAGACATCAATAAAAGTAAGCACTGATGTATATATATATGCATGTTTAGTCACATCTTTATTGTTATCTATTGACTTATCTTATTTGTCACTCCTAGGCACAACAGAGACGCATTAATACAGTAATTGTATGTATATGTGAATTATACGTAATATAATTTTACATTATATGAAATATGAATTTGTAGCTTATGTGACACGAATTTTTATTATTCGTAATATTAATTTCTATTATATATAGCATGAATTTCATATTTCATATGACGAGCTGATTCTATTTAATGCAATAATTGTGTGTTGTATGTATGTGGCTTGTATTTCTAAGCGGCCCCAAGATTAATTAATTTTCGAAAACTTTAATCGTGACAGACTATTAAAAATTCATGTTGAGGAAAGGAAACTGCCATAAGCCCTTACGGCATTCCAAGTATTAGAGTTTGTACAAAATTGGGTGTGATGTATATGTCACGCTAGGCAAATCCAATCTCATTTTTTCAGGAATCGAGGAGGAACTCGCTCATCTTACAAATAAACATATGTATTCACAGATTTGTATATGATATGTACGTTATCATAGTTTTATATATTTTTGGGCTAGAAAGGAAAATTGTGTGTGTGTGCGCGCGCGCGCGCGTGTGTGTGTATGTGTGTATATACATACGTATATATATACATGTGTGTGTGTGTGTGTGGAGTGTGTGTGTGTGTGTATTCCCACACACATATCTATATATCTATATCTATCTATCAGGCTATCTCTGTATATGTGTATGTTTATATTGGAATATGTATAGAGATTGTCAAAACTGTATGGAGAAACTTACTATGATAATATTTCTTCACAAATTATCAGAACATAAACAATAGTAATGTCTAGTCATTACTTTCAGATTATAAAAACATAAAGATACTGTGAATGTGTTATATCCTAGTATGAAATATATGTCACACCAGATTGAAGATGATATCCATGAAATTCAGATAAAATAGAGGAGTAACTAGGTCATATAAAGATAATGGTTCATGTACTGGTTGATGGAGTAAATAATTTTAAGTAACTTTTAGAATGAAAAATGCACATCTTGTTGACATTTTAGAAGAGATTGTTCTGGTCAGGGATAAGAGCTACACTTCGGTCCCCTGTCAATGACAACAGTGACAAGTCCAAGATCAAACTGATCTGTCAACATGTCATGTCATATCTACATGACTGTTCGGGCTTATTTAGGTTAGAGATGCGTGGCAAACAAGGCCAAATGGAAAAGGGTGGTAAATAAAAAACTGGGTAGAAAAGGGTTAAGAAGAAGAAATGCTGCCCGTATGAACCACGTCGACGTGTGGTGAAAAGCGACGGAGGCAGCGGGCCGTGGCAGGACGCGGCCATAGCCTGGGAGGAGGTTCAGTGCTTGGAAAGCTTGTGGAACCTCTGCCTTGTGGATGATTTACGACTGCCGCGTTGAGTATGGGTAAGGATTTGCCTTCGATTTTAGGCAACGAAATCATAAAAGTGATTTTTTTCTTTGATTAAGGCAGGTACTACCATGACATCTATTCATTCGGAACACACACTCGCACATATACACGCACACTTAAATAGACAGAAAGAGAGGTGTATTACACACATATGAATATATATATGTGTGTGTGTGTGTCCAGGCTAAAAAGAGGTTCTCAAGAATACCATTTGTTGCAGAAGTGGTACTGAGGTCAAGGTATGTGTGTGAAATGAGGTGCATTCACCTGGTCATAATTCAGGTTTGAGCCGCGTGAACCAATGAATTAGGCTGCCGCCTTATTCCATCAATTTATGTACTATTATACTATCATTGGCATTAAATTCTTTGAAAGGCGGTTGTCCCAAGGACGGCATTTAGTTGCCACTGAATTTGCA